CCATCTAATTTTCCAGTAGAAGTCGAAAGTAAATATGTTTAAACTCATTGAGATACGTGTTTTCTTTTTTAGTTTAACAATTGTGAGATTGAATTGGCAACTTTTGGAGGGTAGTTTATGTCCAAATTGATATGGGTTGCTATTATAAAAGGAAAAAGTTAATTGTCACGTCTAAAGTTTGATGAAAGAGTTTGTGTATTCTTTCTTTAAGTATGTTGTTTCTCACTAGATACTTGGAAGGAAACGTTGTGATGACCTGGAGCTGCCATCGGCCTGCTCCAACCCCTCTCTCTAGCTAAAAAGAAAAAAGAATTTCCATATCAATTACTGGAATACACCCTCTCGTGGTAACATTTGAATTTTGTTTTTGTAATTCAAGGTGAAGGAAAGAATGGAGATAGTTTAAATTTTGAAAAAACAATTAATCTTCATTTAATCTACAAAGAGATGAATTGACATCCAAAAATAATGTTATTTTCTTGTTAACAATTGGTAACAACAAATGCATTTTGAGAAAATTCATTGAATAGTAAATAGAGGGTACTTCAACTCTCCTTTGTTTTGAGTTTTGAATTTTATAACAAAAATCAGGAAAGTTGAAATAAAAACCGAGTAAACCTCTGCAAGAGTCCTTTTTGAAATAAGAGTTTAGAAGCGTAATAATTAAAACTTAACTCATAGTTTAAAATCATTAAAAAAAAAATGGAGAATGTTAAGAAATGGCTCCTATAAAAGCTACAAGAAATCATTACTATTAGAAACTTGGGAGAGATGACACATTTTTTCTGGTTTCCAGAAAATAAATGTCAAATTTTTAATGGAGATTCATACGAAGATACCCTAAGTGTTCTTCCATTTTCAGCGGAATAGTAAACTGTGAACTCTCATGAAGCTTTATTTATGGGATAGTTCTATAACTGAGGCATCACATATAAGTTCCTCAGGAATGTAGTGCATATTAAGTTGGAAAAGGTGCTTCCCAACAATGTGTTATGGAGCAGACACTAACAATGGTTAATTGGCAATAAGGGCATCAATTTTCTTCTCCACATGAGCTTCATGGTCTTCAAGGCGACCACTGATTTTATCATTCGCCTCCCATCGGACCAGCGTTGGAACTCCAGTAAGCTTGAACCTAGAATCCACTCTCCATGGATGCCTGGGATTCCTCCATGTTGGTCTGTCTCCAACATAGGCTCTCAGAAGTGCGATATCATCCGATGCTGCTTCCAGTTTTTTGTAGATTACTGGTTCAGCTCTCACACAGTCTGACACAAAAACCAAACAGTTCAAAGATCAATTAATGATTGCATCCTGTTTCTACAGCAAACAGGTGGAGAATTCAAACCTATTGACCAATTGAGCTGCTCTTCTACTTGCTAATACTAATAGCATACATCTAATAATTCTTATTGATTAGAGGTAAATAGACTCAAAGGGTGGAAGAAAGGATTATCGCTATCCTTGTGAGATCCCACATTGGTTGGAAGGGGGAACGAAACATTGTTAATAAGGGTATGGAAACCTCTTTCTAGCAGATGCATTTTAAAAACCTTGAGGGGAAGGAGAAGAGGAAGCTCGAAAGGGAAAGCTCAAAGAGGACAATATCTGCTAGCGGTGTGTTTGGACTGTTACAAATGGTATCAAAGCCAGACACTTGGCAGTGTGCCAGCAAAGACGCTGAGCACTGAAGGGGGGTGGACACTGGTCCCCGAAGGAGAGTGGATTGTGAGATCCCCATTGATTGAAAAGGAGAACGAGTGTCAGCGAGGACGCTGAGTCCCGAAAGGGAATAAATTGTGAGATCGCACATCAATTGCAAGGGGGAACGAAGCATTAAACCCAAAGAGGACAATAATTGCTAGAGGTGGGCTTAGGCTGTTGGAGGACAATATCTGCTAGCGGTGAGCTTAAGGCTATTACAATCCTAGTCCACCATTTCGTAGATAATGGAGAAAACTACTTAATGGAAAATGTACATTCCTTCTTTATTGTCCATAATTTTTCTACAGTGACAATGGTACATCAAAAATTAACTATTGGACACAATTGAAAATTTAATGATCCATAAAGTGCATAGTATTTGTTAATTTTAACATATGATGAATTTGTAAGGGATCCATTTGGCACAAAATAGAAGCTAGATAATCCAAATTCAGCAATGTATCAAATACTATCGTGATGTTTCCATCTAGACATCTAGACATTGCATCGAACATGTAAAGCTCAAAGTGGGAACTAGGAATGATCCAAGAAATCCCACACTACAAAAAGTTCATACTCTTGGAGACAATCCTTAAACCTAAATGTAAGCAAACTTGAAAAAGAACTTCCTAGTTTAGTCATGAATACAGAATCACAAGAGACCTCCAAATTTTGTTTCTCAGTGTCAGGTCCATGATATAGAATCTCGTAGTCAAATACAGAAACCCATTTGTCTACATAATCTCTTCAATTAACTAATTCCTTCAAGTGTTTTTCATAATTTCTTCAATTAACTAATTCCTTCAAGTGTTTTTCATTGCATGCAAAGGAACATCTAATTTCATAGATAGACTATGCGATATATGACTTAAAATGGACACATACTTGAGCCTTGTCTCTCCTGTAGCACATGGTGTGTGTGTGTGTGCATAGATATAGTTATCCCCCTCCAATTGATTAGGAAAACTCGAGGACTTCAAACACATGTTACAATTATTTAACTCGGAAGACAAAACGCAAGCAATCAAAATCGAGAAGTAACGACAGAACCAGGATTAGAACAAATTCCCAATTTAAAAAACACAGAGACAAAACAGCAATGGCGTACGTTTACGATTTTCATCTTCCTTTGGAGATCGGTAATCACAGCATCCACAAAAAAAATGAAAAAATCTTCACAAGTATCAGAAAAAGCGGGGAAAAAACAAAGAAGTAGAAGAGAATTGGTGTACCAGGACACCAGCTGAGAGAGGTGGAGGGGTCTTTGTCGGCCAAGAAGAGGATGAAATTAGCTTTATTGTTTGGCAGCTCCGATCGGAATTTGTCGAATACAGCATTGAAGTCGGAGACGGTGGCGTCCTGTAGCTTCAGCGGCATTTTTCTTCTTCTTGGATTTCGAAGAATCGCTGTTCAAAGAACGAGAGTGAAATTGCAGTGTGTGAATTTGGGCGAAATGCCCTATGAGATAACTTGTCAGGCTGTCAGCGCAAAAATCGAAATATAATTTCTTTTTTATTTTTTTCTTTATAAATAATCTACCAATTACCATATTTGCTGCATTTTTAAGCTAAATTAATTAAAATATTTTCAAAATTTCCATAATAATCTTTAAATTAAAAAACAATTTTTGTTTGGTTAAAAATGAGAAATAGTACATGGATGACAATTGTCCAAGGCTTATTTTTTAAATAACAAGAGGACAAAATTATACATTTATGCATTTTATTTTTACCATTAATGTTTTTAAAGTTTGACTTTAATTTTGAAATTTTAATTTTTGAAATTTTAATTTTTTGAAATTTTTGTTGTTAAATTCATGGACATAAAAGGTTGTATATGCTTATACGTTATTTGATTGAGTGGATAAATCTGAACACATACGTGGAGGGTTAGGCTTGTTGGATGATGAAAGTCACCTGGACTAATTTAGGGAATGATCATAAGTTCTAGTAGGTTTGCTTTGGGCTTCCCAAAATGTCTCGTCCCAATGGAGAGAGTCGTGTTCATCTAACAAGGCTTAGTACAAAAATCGAAAATGAAAAAAACTTTAAGCTTAAAATGGGAAGAAGGAACACTTAGCATGATCGTTTTAAAACAAACTTCTAATTTTAAGAATTAAAATGAAACTTTTAAATTTTGTGGTATAATTTGAAACCAATCTTATAATTTAAGAGTATGTAAAAAAAAAAAAAAAAAAAAAAAAAAAAAAAAAAAAAAAAAAAAAAAAAA